AATGACCAGTAGTTATAACTCTATGAGGAATAGTCTAAAACACTTGGAGGGTGTAAAGTTGCTTGCTCCTGTTGTACTTTTTTGGTGTTTAGACCTCTTGGAGAATGGTAATACAGAGTAAGTACCTATGTAAAGGAAGTACAAGCAGCAGGTTACTTGTTATATATTTGATTAGAAAGGCCCTGTCCTAGTGTCAGCTTCCTCCTATAACAGCAATTGAACAAGTAGTTGAACTACTAACTTTTTAGACCACAGGCTATTCTTGATTTTTCAATGGCTTACCAGGGGCTGTACTGCCAAGGAGTAGGGCCAGGGCAAAGAAGTGAGTGTGACCAGAACAAAACATTAAATTTAAGTTTAATTAACCTTAATCAAAATCATTAATATGATAATTTAATTATTTTCCCCTTCTGTCATGTTTTTAAAAAGATTTCAGTTACAACTCTGGGAGGAACTCTGTGAACTGTACTCAAACCGTATGGAATCCATATGTAATCCTAACATGTATGTGGCAGCCCTTAGCCAACTTTAGTTGGTCTCAAAAAGCTAAGCAGGGTCAAACTGGGATAGTACTTGAATGGGAGATCACCAGGAAACCATATGCATTCCAGGTGTAAAGGAAAGCTAACTCTGCTCCTGAATTTATAATAGAGTTTATTTTTCTCCTTAACCTATCACTTCTTTGTTTTTATTGATGGCACAAAACAAAATGCTCTGGCAAAATATCTTACATTTGCCAGACCCGTTGTTGTCTCCATAAAGCTGCTTGGATTATTGAGCGAATTGAACAAGGTGCTGATGAAACCATTCTCCTAGATTTGCAAAAAGGCTAAGTGTATGGAGCGATATGTCTATTCAGAAACTGCAGTATTTCTAAGAGGAGGTTGATAGATAGGTTGATAGATAGATAGGTTGATAGATAGATAGGTTGATAGATAGATAGATAGATAGATAGATAGATAGATAGATAGATAGATAGATAGATAGAAGCATATTTTTGCATGCCTCAGCTTCTCCCTTAAAGGGTTCTATGAGCACACATTAGTGACCTGTAGAAGGGTTTAGAGTTGTGGTAGCATGTTGATATTGTGCAGGTATATGTGTATGTGTGTCTGTATCTCTGTCTCTGTCTCTCTAGCCCTATCTGTATCTCTGTCTATCTATCTATATCTGTGTGCATTCAGAGTCTTTGAGAGAAAATACTGAGCCATCTGGAATCCTCCTTTGTGCTTGAATGCTTTCCCATTACTAACATTTCATTGAAACTTGTTTCCAGTTTTATGTTGGTTATAGTACTAGAATCACAATTCTGCAATGTTATGTGTGCATTTGAATTTAGCCTTTTACTAATTTGTCCAAAAAATTAGTAGCCCCATTTTTTCAGTAGAAAAGTATCTTCGTAGAATTTCCAATTGGCTTTTGGATAACATAGGATGAGTTGAACTTTGCCCATTGTTTCCATTTTGGATGTGGGCTTGTTTCTTCTTTCCATTTAAAAAGTAAGAAATGCAGGGTGTGGTCACCAGCTTATTTAAGTTGAGTGATAATATGACAAGGGGAAGTCTGTTTCAGAGTCTTCTTTCCTCCCATTGCATTTATCCTCTTTTCAGGCAAATGAGGCTAGACTTCCTTACACCACTTCATTAACTAGGCAGTTCTGATCCATTCCCTTGGCACCATCTGTTCACTAAATGAAGCTGAGAAGAAGGTGAAGGAAATGGTACATTATTATATAATAATGGATGTGTTTGAATAAATGATGCTTAATCTGTCATTTGTGGTTGTCTGTTCAGTCAAAACTTTTCTAACACACACACACACAGAGTGGTGCTTAGAAGTTTGTGAACCCTTTTGAATTTTCAATATTTCTACATAATTATGACATAAAACATGATCTGTTCTCCACACAAGTCCTAAAACTTGATAAAGAGAACCTAATTAAACAAAATGAGTCCAAAACATTATACTTGTTCATTGATTTATTGAGAATGATCCAAAGCTACATATTTGCTTGTGGCAAAAATATGTGAACCTTGAGGATTATCAATTCATTGGAAGGGGAAATTGGAGTCAAGTGTTTCAGTCAATGGGATGATAATCAGGTGTGAATGTGGGAGGCCCTGCCTTATATAAAGAACAGAATTCTGAGTATTCACTATCAAAGTCTGAACTTCACAACCAAGTATGTGGAAGAGTGTCATGCCTTGAACAAAGGAGATTTCTGAGGACTTCCAAAAAACAGTTGTTGATGCTCACCAGGCCGCAAAAGGTTACAAAGCTATTTCCAAAGAGTTTGGACTCTACCAGTCCACTGTCAGATGGATCATGTACAAATGGAGGTAATTGAACTCTATTGTTACCCTCTCCAGGAGTGGTTGACCACTAAGATCACACCAAGAGCAAGGGATGTAATACTCTCAGAGGTCCCCAAGAAACTCAGGGTAATGTCTAAGGAACTAAAGGGCTGTCTTGCATTGCCAAACGTCAGTGTTTATGAGACCACCATCAGGAGAACAGTAAACAACAGTGGTGTGCATGGTAGGGTTGCAAGGAGAAAGTTACTACTCTCCAAAAAGAACATTGCTGCCCATTTTACAGTTTGGGGAAAACTATGTGGATAAGCCAGAAGGCTATTGGAAGACTGTTCTGTGGATGGATAAGACCAAAATCTTTTTGTCTTGAATGAAAAGTGTTATGTTTGGCAAAAGGCAAACACTGCATTCCAGCATAAGAGTCTTATTCCATCTGTGAAACACAGTGGTGGCAGCCCAAGGTTTGGGCCAGGACAGCTTGCCATCATTGATGGAACTATGAATTCTGAATTGTATTAGCAAATTCTACAGGAAAGTGTCATGTTATCTGTCTGTGAACTGAAGCTTAAGAGAAAGTGGATCATGAAGCAAGACAACGACCAAAACACACAAGTCGTGCAACCAAAGAATGGGTAAAGCAGAAGAAAGTTAATGTTTTAAAATGGCCAAGTCAGAGTTTGACCTGAATCCTATAAAAATGTTGCGGAAGAACCTGAAGCGGGCAGTTCATGCAATGAACCCCCAACATCCCTGAGTTGCAGCTGTTCTGTAAGGAGGAATGGGCTCAAATTCCTCCAAGCCGACATGCAGGACTAATCAACGGTTATTGGAAATGTTTAGTTGCAATTATTGCTGCCCAAGGGGGGGCACACCAGATATTGAAAGCAAAGGTTCACATACTTTTGCCACATACAAATATGCAGCTTTGGATCACTTTCCTCCATTAGTAAATGGGCAAGTATCATGTTTTTGACTCATTTGTTTAATTGGACTTTTTGTTATCTAGTTTTAGGACTTGTATGGAGAACAAATCACATTTTAGCTCATATTTATGCAGAAATATTGAAAGTTCAAAAGGGTTCATAAACTTTTAAGCACTACTTCATGTGTAGAGGGTTTTTTGTGTGTGTGTGTGTATAACATACATCAAAATTAATGTGAACTAAACCAAGATGCTTATCAGAGGATCAGCTTTCTCTTAGAGCTACTGTGGCTCAATTGTTAATGGCTTTTACAAATAACCTTATTAAGGATTCAGCCAAGTGTGGTAAAATTTAGTTTCCATATTATTGAAAAGTGCTTTGGTGTATATATACATGTGTATTGTAACAAAGATACAATGTATGAGGAAGCAGATTTCCTCATAATAAAGTGCTTTAACCCTTGATCATTTCAGCCAGGAGCCATAGCCAATCCTAGCTCTGTTGTTCTTTTATGATAGAGGAATTTTGAAACTTACTGGTGCCACATTTTTAGGTGTACACTTATATAGTGTAAAATGTAAATCCGTGAGCAGTACCTTTTTGTTGGATAAAGAGATGGCTAAAAATATTGGTCATGCTGTATTTCTCCTTTGACACATGCCTATATATCCAATGCCTTCGCTGAAAGGCAGGACTGGAAGATCTTGGGTGAATCTTGTAGACCTTTCATTTAAGAAGGATAATTCTGAAGGCTGAATATACTTTGGCCAACTGTGCTTGGCTGAAGTTCATTCTGAAGATTTAGGCTTTATTTTGACACAGAATTAAGGAAACGTTGAAAAGTCCTTGCAAGGTGCTTTTTGATTATTTAGCTAGAAAATAAGTGGATTTTCCCCTCTATATAAATGAGAGGTCCTGTTTTTGCATCACTGATCTTGATCTTGTTTGTGAAATTTTGTACAAAAGGTTAGTGGGGGCACAGGAACTAAAGGAGCGGCACACCATATTTGCACGAAGCCTTGCCTTTCAAAACTGGAGTGTACAAGCTGCAGTTGCAAGTTAAAGCTAGTTTCTGAACGTGTTCAGAAACAGTCTTGGCACCCAGGAGAGAAGTGAGCAGCCTCTTCTGGAGGCTTCCCATTCATTACTGATTCTCATTCTCATTCATTATTAGTTAACAGTTTTATTAGCCCTTGAGTGAATTAATTTAATTAATTAATAATTAATAATTAATTAGCTCTTTTAAACCGTTTTAAGCACTTATGGCCAACTGCTCTGTTGTTGTTTGCTCATTTTGGTTTTAAAGATTGTTTTGCATATGGCTGAATTTGAGTTCTTTTTCTTGGGAAAGTGAGTGGGAATATAAACTTGCCAATAAATGTTGACAGGATAGATGAGTTGTTTAACTTAGTACAAGAAACATATTTAGACCTTTAAATACTGGAATGAACTAGGACCCTAGAGATCTTGGGAGAAGTTTTATGGAGTGCTCTGTTTTAAATGACAAAATAATTGGCTTTTTGACAGCAACGTTAGGTCTAGATCTGCTTGATTTTCTGCTGACAAAAGTCTAATAGAAAAATGTTGGTCTTCTCATTCATGTCACCCTGTGGTGATAGGAAGAACAACATCAGTTAGCATATTTGTATTTACTTCATATGAGATCGTAGTCCCTGGGTTTCTAGCAGAAGTTCATCATTTTCATGTTAAAAACAAGTATTTATTTATGGTGTTAACTTTTGGACTTGTTTTTCTATCTTTTCAGGTCTCTGGATGGCAGACTCTGAAAAGAAATGTTATTTTAAGAGGTATGCTTAGTAGCAAAATGATGTTTTCCTTCACTATGTAAAGAGATTTTTCCTGATTGAATTCTCCATCTTGTTTTAAATAAATGTAAAAGAATCTAAAAAAAGTTTTTTTGAAGGGAAAAAAAAACCCCAAATGCAAAACTTGTGCTTTTGGAGATCTAGTTAGAACTTAAGAGTGTTTCTCTTTAGGGATGTTTATTTTTGTTATATATAAGAAACATTGCTGCGGTTTCACCAAATATAGCTACAGTACTTCTAATATCAACATCCAGTTCATTCTAGGCCCAGCATAAGCTGATTTTATGTTTGCTTCAAATGCTACAGCATGACAGCTATGTTGAAACTAAAGGGGAATAATAATAATAGTTTTAATCTTAATATTTGATGTGTGAAAGTGTTTCTATTGAAATCCTGAAACCTATTTAAATGGAAATCACAGAAAAATATTTGAACTCTCCCATATAACTTATCCTGCTAATAGAAATGAGGGGATTCCTGTTAGCGGCAAGTGCTCTTTTATGCTACCTATCTGACATGTCATATAAAGTTTAGAAGTGTCTCAGGCAAACTTTTTAGTGGTTTCATTAGTCATAGGAGGAGCTTAATATTCAAAATAATGTAATCATTAGCAAGAAATACCTAATACATTTATGGGGAAATTGTTTCGTTTCTCATCAGATTCAAATGAAAAGTTTAGCTCCGTTCAGTGTAGACACACCACTGAAAGGAGCCCTCTGCAGAAACTGGTGAATAGGAAGTACAACCAAGCTACCGATTACACAAAGTGACTCATAAAGCAATGGAGTATACAGCCAACTCTGTGGGTGGGCACTCAGCTTGCAGAACCTTTCAAAATAAATGCGTATTCTTTCCTATAGCTATAATTTGGGAATTAGTGAACCAATGTATGACCTACTAGCTCAGGATTGGTCACTAATATTTTAGAAATAGTACTTTAATAACTGCATTTACACAAACGCACGAGCCACAAATTTATAAAATAGTTGCTGCTGTCTCATTTTCAGGCTATCCATCTTTACATTGAACAGTGAAAAATGGAAAAGAAGTGGGCTCTTCCCCATGATTTAGAAATAAAAAATGGAAGTTACTAGAATTTTACACAGAAGTATGCAGATTAATAAAATGTTGTATGTACGTGTTATTTCAGAAAATGAAACTTGCTTGGCTCAGTTGAGAAATTTGGCCAAATGCAAGGTTTTAAAAATATATATTGTGCAACAAGACAAAAATAAGGAAATGAAGGAAATAGTTGTAGTGGCTGACTGCTAGCTGTCTCTGAAAGAGAGAGGTCAAAGCTATAGAAAACTGGCAAGCACTATAGTTTTATGCTATTTTATTTTTTGTAATAATAATGGTGCATTGGAGTATCTGCAAGAATACCATTTGCCTGCAAACAAGAACTGGTGGGACCACAAAACAGGCAAAGTAATAGAAAATGAAGAAGGTAAAGTGCTCTGGGACTTTAGAATTCAACAGAGAAGCACCTGCCACCCAGACTTAACAATTGTTGATAAGAAAGACAAAAAAATCTGGATAGCGGACAGTGTGACACCTGGAGACAGTGGAATAGAAGAGAAAGAACTGAAGAAAATCACAAAACATAAAGACCTGCAAATAGAGATAGAACGACTGTGGCAAAAGAAAGCAAAGATAGTACCAATAGTTGTAGGTGCAATCCCAAAACATCTGGAGCACCACTAGAAGACCATTGGCATTGACCCAACCATTATCAGTCAATTGCAAAAGGCAGCTTGACTTGGAACAGCTTCCATCCTGTGACGATACCTTTAACCCTATCACACAACAACATCTGCCTATCCCAGGTCCTTGGGAAGGACTGGATAGGTGGATAAAAATGCCAAGTCCAGTCTAAACATCTGGTTGACTGTGCGACCAACCATAACAACAACAACAACAACAACAATTCTTGTTAACTAGAAATTTGCCATTGTAAGGGACAAAAGGTATTTCAGGGCCAAACCAGGTGCAACTGTGGGAGAGCTACGATTCAGCTTCCCTTGCCCCTCTTCCATGAGTGATCTTTAATGCATCTGCCAGAATGCATTATCTTCCGTTTGAGTGGGATAAGGCTGTGCCTGCTATTTGAAATGGGTGTATATTGCCTGCAGTATCAGTCATTAGGTCTCTCAGTTGAAGTTTCATGGGAACATGCACGATGTTGTGTTCGTGTTCTGCTGGTTAGTTTCCTGTTGGCATTTGACTGACCACCATGGAAACAGAATGCTGGACTCAGTAGCTCTTTGGTATGAGCCAACTTAGTCTTCTTTGCGCACCTGTGTTGGTACCAATAATACCTTGATATAAAATATAAATCCATATATAGGCATACTTGTTTTGTAACTGCAGTTTCAGATATAATAAACTTTGAAATGTAATATTTTCTTGGTGCCATTTTCTCATTGAAAATCGTTTCTCACCTGCTCAACAAAGAATGTGATTTTTTAGGAGGAAACAGCATTGGAAAGAGGAGTTAGTTTTTAAGATATCAAAGAATTCAGCAACAGGCTGACTTGATTACCTCTTTGGGAATTGTAAATTCTCTGACAGTTGAATTATTGAAGACTATAGTCCTGGTGGCAGATTGATCCCATTACTGTTGTTAGTCCAAACTCAGTTCATGCCTTGCTTCTCCTGAAGCAGCTGAATTTTCTGTTTTCATAGATTAGCTAGGATTAAGTTACGTTCTTTGAGGATTAGATGAACGTGTTCAGTTTTTACCTCTTGGCATTGGATATCTCAGATCCGTGGTAAACTGTTTACTTATTGTGGATTTTGGAAAATATCTTTCATTGTACTTTGGATTAAGTGGACGGCTTGCATCTTTGTGTGCTTCCTTACACAATGGGTAATTAATTTGTAACATTAGCTGCTGAAGGAATGATAATAGTTCAATCTTGTTATATAAAGATTTGGCAGATCCTAGAGAAACAAAGATGAGCCAATAGGAGAAGGTTGTTGTTTTTTTTCTTGAGCTATTATATTTATTTCCTATCTAGCTAATTCAGGTATATTAAAAACTCCTATGATTACCACACCACACTTTTGTGTGAATGCCTGAGGGCCTGAGCTGTGTGGAATTCCTTGAGAAATTTAGCATAAAACATGTTTTGTTTGATGAGTGTATATTTTTCTTATGGAATGTAAAAACAAGTTTTTATTTTTTAAAAAATAGCATTTTGAAGAAATCCTCTGAAGGGAGAATGGGGAAGGAATGTGAATCATCTGAATATTTTGCATTTTTTTCCTTAGTCTTGATTCTGCTAGCTACTTCTAATTAATTACCTATACATTTGATAAAAAAGAAGGGATAATGTAAACGCAATATGAAAAATAATCCTGCTTTTTAGATATTCCGATCTTAAGGGCATAAACATATTGACTGTCTTAATTTCAACCAAATTATGAGGATATGTTACAAAAATTTACAACTTTTCAGCCAAAATGTCTCAGCAGTTTTTACTGAAAAACATCTTAGTCTGGTGACACCTGCCACGTAGAAACTCATTGCAGCAGATGGTAAAAATGCTTCCCTCCTGTCTTTATTATTTAGCACTCTATTTTGTTTCCTCTGGTACAGTTTTTCCCAGTGAGAAAATAAAAGCAGATGTTTTTACGTTACTTCTGATAGTTGTGAATTTTTTTTTTTTAGTTATATAGGCATTTCTAAATTACCTTTTAGTCCAGAAGGGGTCCCAAGGCAACTTAAAATGTATAGCTATTTACAGATTTTAAAACAGCAAACAGTAAAATCACAAGTAGGAAAGAGGATAGTTCAAATCATGCAGAAGTAAAAGCAGAAAAGTTTACATAAAACTAAAGAAACAAAAACCTCCTTAGAGAGAGTTCCGTAGTTCGCAAAAAGAAGATGCCTTGTTCCACCAGTCTAGCTTCTTTTTGTAGGAAAACATACAGGAAGACTTCTAAAGCAAGTTAATATGGAAGTTTATGGTTTTTCACAAATCTTGATCATCAGTACAGTTCCGGTAAGACCTTCATTTTCAGTATGGGGAACTGGTAGCTTTTTAGGTGCTGCTGAATTATATTATGCAACGTTCCTCATCGTTGCCTATGCTGGCTGGAGTTGTAGTTGAGTTGTGTCTGGACAACTGTAAGATTGTTGTCTCAGATCCAGACATGAGAAGCATAGGGACCAGATGGTGCCCACGGCTGCAAAACTGAGCAATAGTCTTCTGGTACCATTTTCTGAAAATGGTTGGTTAGATAAAATTGGAATCACTGTAGCACCCTGTCCCCAAATCCTGTAGTGGTCAGACACCTTAGAAAATACCACCACGTTTAGCATCTGATAATGTTGAGATCTATCGCCAAACTAACAGGGATATGTTTCCAATCTGGTTCTTTGCCCAGACTGTTTTGGCTGAACCTACAGTAGAAAGTTTCAGACAAATCTGCTTAGTCAAAGAAGCCTGAAGTTGAGTTGCTATCACTGATATTATGATCTTATTTTCATTGAGGAAAAAAAAAAAGAATATTGGAGACTGGTTTATAACTACTTATCTAACTGCCCCCAAACCCCGTAACCCTAATCTTCATGTTTGTTGCTAGTTTCACAGACAGCAGATGTGCTGCTTGCAAGTGACACGTATCACTGCAGAGGGACTTACATGACAGGACATTACTTTTACAACCCAAACTCTCCCCACAAGATTGTTACAGAAAACCTAAGTGTCAGGAAGAGTTAATGAAGGACCCGTGATTTGACGTGGTAGCTTTTAATGGTCTGCCAGGTGAAGATTTTCCCAAATAATGTGGGAAAACTGAAAAACCGAATCCAAAACCTTTCCCAAGGCTTTCCTGGAAATGTTAAACGCTACATAAAGACATCTCCCCCCCCGAAACCTAGTTCTATTGAAATATTTGCTATAGGGAAAAATGAAGAAGCTACGCTTTACAGTATATAGTTCAAATATAATTCAATGCTTTATTTTGCAATTATTTTTAAATTTGCGAAAACAACTGTAAGATACATACTTCCCTGTGGTTTAAAAGGGGGGAAAAAAACCCCCTAAATGTATTTAGGCAATTAATATGTTACTTTGTTTTCCCCAAATTTGGCAAAATTTCCAAAAAACTGGACAGCCAGTTTGGTCTAGTGGTTAAAGCTCCAGGCTAGAAAGCAGGAGATGGTGAGTTCTAGTCCCGCCTTAGGCATGAAAAGCTGGCTGGGTGACTTTGTGCTAGTCCCTCTCTCTCAGCCCAACTCACCTCACAGAGTGGTTGTTGTGGGGAAAATAGGAGGAGGAAGGAGTATTAGGTATGTTTGCTGCCTTGAGTTATTTATAAAAATAATAAAGGTGGAATAAAAAACCTAAAAAATAAAAAAAAATACTGTGCATTTATGTTATATCTACATTCTTCTAAAGGTTAATCACCCGAAGAGTTATGTTGATTAGAATTGGCATTTTTTTCTATACTACTAATGCATTTTAGGAAACTATAGATTTTTAGGAGCTAAGCATTTTCTGGAAGATTTTCCACCTACATGAATTACAGATAAAGCTGGTATAGTCTATTCACCTCACTTGCTCCTTCTGAAAAGTAGACTCATTTAAAGCTCATGGTGTGGAATGCCACAAATCTTGTAGTGTGAAGCTCAGAACAACAACTGCTGCATTGTTTTTAGCTTTATGGTTATGCATTATTTTTAAACCAGGTTTATTTTTCCAGATAAGGTCTTTTGGACCTGTTTTGATCATTTTCATTTTTTTTTCTACATTAAAGGCTTATTATGAGGGTCAGATATTTTAAAAGAAGTAGACATTTATATTTCAAATATCTGCCTACCCTGGTTTTCTTACAGACACCAAAGATGCTGACAAGAAAAATTAAACTTTGGGACATCAATGCCCATATAACCTGCCGCCTTTGCAATGGTTATCTTATTGATGCTACCACTGTAACGGAATGCTTGCATACCTGTGAGTACGACAATCACTGTGTATTATGAATTTAGATTTATGTTGATGTAAACATAATTATTTGGGTTTTAGTTTTGATTTTTTTGAAAGGCTAATAATGTTCATTAAGACACGTCTTAATTTCAAATTAGGTTTTATTCATATGTGAATATGTTTTTAAATGCATACCCAGGCCCTTATCAAGAAATTCAGAGAGCTTTGAATTACAGGTAAAACAGGTATTTGAGCAGATTAGATTCCCCCCCCCCCCCGAAGGGCAGAGTATGTATCTTATTCATTTACCATTTTGATTCATTCTTTTTGCCTGCTTCTGTATGGAGTAGGAACCTGTCTGAATCTTCATTATTTTCAAAATTCCCACACTTGGTTTGCATAGAAGGTGTCCAGTGTCAGCTCCATGCGGGTTCACATGCTAAAGTTAGTGAACCAACAAGGTTGAAGAGGTTGCATGCTGCCATATTACAGGGCAAGCCATGTGAGCCAATTGTGCAGTTTTTTTTAATACCTGATAAGGTCTTCTCTTAATTAATCCCATAATATTGTGATGTTGTCTGATTCCTTGAGAGGCAAGCCAGCGAGAGCTGACTATATAAGGAATGGGGAAGAATAGTTCCGCTCTTGCAGAAAAACTTGGGCCTCTTATTATTTTTCCAGGGATGAGAGCGTATCAGTAAAAGTCCTCTGCTCTACATGGAGGTGTTGAGGCTTCTTATTTAGTCATCTAGGAGGGGATGTAAATATGTGACATCAAATAATGTTCTGAACTTCTTTACTTTAGAGCTGAAGGTAGTGGCTCCTCTGAACAGGTACCTAGGAATGCTGAAAAGGGAGCTTTTACTAAAGAGCATGATTTAAACGTTGTGATGCTGTTTAGCTGCAGGTCATAATATGTTTTTAATTGCTTCTGAGAAGGCATCAAGTTTTTCCTTTCTCCCATTTGGACCTACTGTGCTGATCTGAAGCTGATACAATGAAGAGAATTTTGCTGATATAGCATGAAAGGATATTAGAAATAATAAATCAATTGATTTAGTTGAAATAATATTTGCCAAGTTACACAGGAATTGCTGGACCCAGTTTTGGCTTTGTTTGACAAGATGACAGGATCTAATTTGTGTGCTAGGGTGTCTTAACAAAACTGTCAGCTTGCAGGATAGCTAATGAGAATTGTGTAATGAGTAACTATGGTCAAAAGGTTGATAAGTTTGCAATAAGCTTCTTTAACTCAGGTAGCCGTACCAAATTTAACCACCTACCATTGCTAAGTTAACATCTTACTCTGCTTTTGCCAGTTTTTACTTTTTGTATTGGGGGTTTTATGAGTATGATGGTATATTAAAGACCCCTCCTTTTTTAAACAGTAGGAACGGATCAAACTTCCTAGAACTTGCCATTTATTCAGTGCTTCCAAAACCAAGAACTTTCTTCCAGTGGCATCTCTTCTGTTCCTCTTTCTCCTTGAGCTCTACACTTTGTGGGAAAGTAATAAATGTTAATACATAATAGAATAGCTCCCCCTCTCTGGACTTTACCCATCCCAGTCTTTGCCCTGCAATTACAGTTTCTTCCATTCTTATCTATTTTGGCAGCTTTAAATGTGATCATCTGATTATAATGTTTAAATAAGAATAATAAATAAATGTTTTATTTATTTATTTGATTTATATGGTGGCCCATCTTACAGACATGACTCTAGGTGGCGCACAACTTTAAAATAAATAAGCATATATACAATTACTAAAGTTAACTTAAAAACACACACAGAAGCTGGAGAATCATGAAAGGCCTTTCTCGTAGCCAGGGAATGGGCTCCGTTACATAGTCAGGGCCTCAGACTCGGGCACAGAACTGGGTCTTCAGGGCATTTTGGAAGACTAGAAGGGGGTGGGGGTGGATTTGCACACATCCTTACTGAGTTTTCCTCTAAAGGAAATGTCTCTTGCTCGGTACCATAAAGACTGCACACGTTTGCACTTTTCTGCATCTTTTATCTGCTAAAATGTGTATCATCTTGTATGAAAAGTAGATGGCACTGTTTAACTGCAGCTTTCAGGCTTTGGTATTGTCATTTTTCAAGAGTTGAAGGTAACAGTGAAATGTTAATTGAATTATTACTGAGGAAGTTTCACTTCTCAACAGCAATCATTAGCTTCAGAATAAGCTTGGTTGCAACGATATCAACAGTCAAAAACCATTATGTCATGCTGTTGCATATATTTATTTTTAAATAAAACTAATGATCTATCACTCTAAGTACTAAATAATATTCCTTTTTCTTAAAGAAAAAAAGTCTGCTTTAAAATAACTCTCTATTCCGTATTGAAATGACCCCACAATAAATGAATGTTTATAAACTGATTATAATCTTACATACCTCAGATAACAACAACAAAGATGTAGATTTTATTTCTGAAGTCTTTATGCTGGCATTTTTCAGATGCAAATGTGGGGGATGCTACATTTATTATTCAGAAAGGGAAAGGACTCTCTCCAAAATGTTCATTAGGGTACAAGCGCTTTTTTGGGGTAGGCGCTGTGCTTGTTAAAACCGGATGTGGAACGCAACCATTCAGTTCTGCATCCCCAACTATGAAACCGTGATGTTGTTTAGCTTTGCTTCCTTGACGTTCAGTTATGCACAGAGTATAAAATGCTATTAGCGATTCAAAACGTTGCCTTGCATTCATCTTAACGGATCATTTTTTCTGTAAAACAGTTTGCAGGAGTTGCTTGGTAAAGTATTTGGAGGAAAATAATACCTGCCCCACCTGCAGGATAGTAATACACCAGAGTCACCCTCTCCAGTATATCGGGTAAGTATGATGTTAAGGGAAATACATCTGCTGGACATGCCTTTCTAAACCATGACTTGGGCAGAAGTTTATTTTTCCACTGTGTTCCAGTGGAATGGAAACAGATATGGGAAACCACTCGTTTTTCTTTCTTTAGTTTCATTTTCATTTGTGCCCAAAGGAAGAGAATATTTTTCAGTTATTCTAGTGGTGTAAATAGATAAAGGTTTCTTATAGGTCTTTGCAGTAGCATTTTTTAATTTCTATTTTTTTGTCTTGTCAGTCATGACAGAACAATGCAAGATATTGTTTACAAGCTTGTTCCAGGTCTTCAAGAAGGTAAGACAACAGTAAGCTGTTGGAAAGACATTTACATGTAAATAAACCCCCTTCATATGATGTTTGGGATTCATGGTTCAAATTGTTAAGTGATTGTAGGAAATCATGAAGCCTGTTGCTAGGTTGTTTTCATTGGCTTGCTTTGGCAAACCAGGGGCCAAATTGGAGCCCCCAGCAAAAGTTTTATTTCATAATTTAAGGCAGAATCCTCAATTAAGATTGAAGGGAAAAATCAAACAAGCTTTTCTCAACCTGGACATTCTCCAGATGTATAGGCTTCAGTTCCCAGAATTCCCCAGCCAGTATGGCTGGTGTTGCTGTAACTTTCCTCCATACCTTGTCCCCAGTCATGAGTTATTTTTACCTCTGGAGAGGAATACTAGTCCTGTAACGAGTTACATAAAAAATGAAGTTGGGTACTTAAGAAGGGAGCACAAATAGTTTGGTCCTAAATTATTTCAAATAGAATATCTGTTTAAAACATGGATGTCTCCTGTCTACATACATATTAACTACAAGTATCTTAAATTATGTAAGATTATTTACAAGATCTGAAGAGGGGTGAAGAGTCAGGTATGTTTAACATTAATCAGTAAATGTTAAAGAAAGTGTCTTCAGTAAATGATTACAGTAGTACCTCGGGTCACAAACTTAATTCGTTCCGCAACTCTGGTTGCGACCCGAATTGGTCGCGACCCGAATC